GTATTTATACATTCATGCATGTACCATAATTTTTTTATATGCATGTAAGCATTTGTGTTAATACACATAAACTGAGATANAATTAAAATGGATTCTTTCATATTTTCTACATTTATTTTTATTACAAATGGAAGAACTTATATGTATGTATTTATGCATTCATGCATGTACCATAATTTTTTTATATGCATGTAAGCATGTGTGTAAATACACATAAACTGAGATATATGTATGTATGTATGCTGGTATTAACATGCTGAATTAAATATTTAATTTTTTAACTAACATTTATATTCTTATGCAGTTTTAAGTAATACAATATATGTATGTACTATATGTATAACATTTTAATGTTGTATGTTAATGAGCATGCAAATATAATACATATGAATTTTTTAACTAAACTACATACTTTAGAAATTATATACAATAATTGATAATTGATTTGTTGCTTGCAATTTGCCTGGAGGAACTTTTCTTTACAAATTGCTGAGTTATTTGAGGTGATTCGAATTTGCAGATTACTTATGACTGAGACTTTTGTGTATATATATATATGTGTGTGTGTGTGTTTTGCATTCACCTATGTATGTACATACACACACTGTGGTAAGTTTAATTTAAATTTTATTTTTTGGTTTTCTACATACAATACACTATGGCACAGCGTTGCTACTAGTATTATTTAAATTTTTTTTGTTTGGGAATGCAAACTAAAGCTAATTGTAAGTGGTTTTTTGAGACTAAGTTGAGTGAATGCATGCGACTGAGACTAGCCTAAATGTGGGACAGTTATTTTTAAATTGTAAAAAACCATCCCTTAGGATTCTATAGGTATCTAGTGCTAAAGGCTGCTGCACAGTGCTAATAAGTATTATGGATTTATAATTATGGTATATTGCAATATACGAGTATGATCTATACAGTGACTCGCAGAAATATTTTGCATTGTTTTTTTCTTTTACGATTTTAAAAATGTTTTTCATGGTTAATTTTGTTATTAAAATATAGCACATTTTACAACAAAAACTATGTAAATTAGAATTTTAGACTTTACAGTAAATTAAGAAAAATATCGCAAATATGCATCAAAATTTTGAATCTGATTTTTAAACAAAAAAAATCTAGTAGCAGTTTTATAGCCCAAATTTCTGATTTCTAAACAATTTCGCATCTTTGATATATATTTTTTTTACTGGGAGTGTTGAGCATTTTCTTCCATATAAGGATTTTTTACCGAAATTTAGTGGGCTATAAAACTGTAAGCTCGAATTGTTGGTAAAAAATTTTGAAATTGTTATTAAAATTTGCTGAATTTTCGTTATTTTTCTGCAAAGTTTGAAATTTTAATCTTCATGGTTTTAGTTGTAGAATGTTTATCATTAAAAACATTTTGAATAACGTAAAAAAAATTAATGCAAAATATTTGTCTGAGGCACTGTATACATATGTACGTACACATATGTACATATGAATGTCTGTAGCTAATTCACATGTCATAACGAGTTGTATTATTAAAATGTCATACATTTTATAGGCGCATATCCATAGACAAAATAAAGTCGACTCTAAAATTAAATTTGCAACTTTTTCGCAGATATCCCATTGGAAATTATGTCAGAAAGCTGCAATTAATTGTATAGTCGACTTTATTTTGACCATGAATACGCGCCATAAAGTTTTAAATTATCTTTTACATTATTTATAACATTTAAACTATTTTTGAACGTCATAAAATGTATGACATTATAACTTATATGACTCCTTAAGACACATTGTGAATTATCTCCTAATTTTTCTCACATTATAAATATTTTTATATGTATGTAGTATTTTATCTGAGATAGACTGGCGTACTTCAAAGCTATCTAATATTAATACCAATTTAGTTTTATAATCATCTTACTTTAACTGCTGACATTTTCGAATTATTGGAGTTTTTGAATGTCCAATGACTATCACTGGAGAATTCTTTAACTGCTTGAACAGAAAATTAATTGAGATTATGTTAAATTACAAACTATTTTATAGTACTCGTATAATTGATGCATAACACAATAGGGCTTCTATTAATAAAGAATTGTATACACAATTCACTAGAGTTTAGCCATAATGATATATTACAGTTGCAAAATGTCGTAACTCTTATGAAATTATTTAAAAAAAATATGCTTAGCACATCTTTGTATATTTTTTATGGCGCTTTCTTCAGCGAGCTCAAAACCGCTTTTGAGGTGAGGTGAGGTGTTCACCTTAGAAGAATAATACACACATTATTTTACTTAAAATCGGTATAGAGCTCATTTAATAGGGAAATACAAAAAAAATTAAATTTGTAATAACACACAATGAACTGATTTCCAATAGCTGCACATACATCCCGCTTCACTTTGATAGGCACATTTTTTTTTTCTAGCACCGAGCTTATATGTACATACAGTGAACCACAAAAGTCTTCGTACAGAGAATTTTTCACAATGTATGGGACGTAACTATCTGGATGAGTAAGCATCGTTTCGACGACTGATCTTTTTTTTTTTAAGAAAAATGTTGAGATAAAGAATAATTGTGGCTTATTTATTGTTTTACAATATTATTATTCATTGTAATAGATTAGAGTTAATGTGGCGTCTTTGTGCGCCGTATTTGTCGTTAGCAACTCAACTGCAAAAAATTGGCTATTCACAGAATTACTGGATCAAAGATTTTATGGGCAAGCTATCTCGAAAAAACTTATAATCAGTCGTAAATTTGACCTATCATCGGATGATAAAAGCACGAAATTTAGCCAAAAAGGCTACATAGAAATTACAGCAGATCCATTGTAAGGTCCACTGCTTATTTTCGCGATACCAGACTAAAATTAAAGAGAAATGTGTGCCACAACAAGGCAGATTATGAATAATTTTGAGCATTTGAGCTCAGCAAAGTTCTAACATGGGGTACAAGTAAACGTACAACGTAAATAATCGAAACTGGAATTTTGTAGGATTTACAAAAATGTACATCAAAAGGAAAGTTCTGGTTTTCTCGTCTCTAACGAAATTTAACGAAATTGGCCTTATCGCCAACTCTATGTGAAAAACCAATTGGGTAAAATAATTTTTGTTTTGCTTTATAATATTTGAGGAAGACCTTTTAAATCCAGAAACTTTCTACTGGGTATTTTTGAAGTTGTAATAAAATGTATATAAAATGGACTTTGAATAATTATCTTAGAGAAGTATGATTTCTATGAATTAAAGCGGCTTTAGAAGAAAAGCATCTTACGAAGGAGATACATATGTATAAGCCCTTGTTTTTGTAGCGAAAGCAGAAGACCTTTAATTTGTGCCACTCCTTACAAAATAGAAAGGTGAAAGGCCTTTTAGCTCCTGAAACTACTATCTACTAGAATATTTTTAAATATTTTTCTTGAACATGCCAGCGAAATACCACAAAAGCAAAATCTTAATTTTTTGTAGTGGTCTTATTAGCGGACCTACAAAAATTGGCAAGGTGTCCTTAGAGTTATTTAAAATCCTGTATGCAGCAGTTTCAATTAAATCATCTCTTAACATATTTTTAAATCAAGGAGACAGATCTGAATACTAATGGCGAAATTAAAGTGAATAATTCTTTTGTGCGTCTTCTGTGTGCTAAGGTTTGGCGTATTATTTTATAAAAATATTTAAGTCGCTTCTAAGCTAACAATATAAGGTTTATAGGATATGTATAAGCTGGGATCTCGAAGAAAAATTTTGCCTATCTAAGTGAAGCGGTGTGTATGCTATATATAGTGAAGACGAACTATATAAAAAAAAAACCATACTCTGTAGCAGGTATCTTAAATATTCTTCAAATATTATCGACATTTCTAGATTTTTGTGCCTGGAAGACGAAATTTTTTCAAAATGCATAAATGCATCTGGATGGTCGAGGAGTATTTCTGCATCAAATATAAAATTAAAAAAAAAAACTGTTGCTTATGTTTTTCCCCCCGATATAATGACTGAAATTTATAACCGGGCAACTGTCTGTTGTACCACATTCACAAATGTTTGCTAAGTAATATTAGGTGAAATATGTATCGTTTTTTAAACAAATTTATATTAAAACAAGTACGCGCAGTTTTTAATTAGTTCGCCAGCACACTGTGCGCATGTATGTAATACGCGATTATTATATCGATCGATATCTGTGGTTAGACTTGAAGATTTCGGCTGCAATAGTAAATTCATATTAAAGCTGATATGCTTATAATTACACTTAATACTTAAGATATTATTTAATATAAATTACTAATTATTAGATAATACGAGTTATATACAATAATTGTAATAAAAATAGTTTCTTTTGAGAAAATTACATTAGAAACCCATTAAAAAAATATGCAAGAATTTACAATATCACAAAAACTCGGTATAAGAAAAAATAAATTGGCACAATAGCAAGCGACAAAATATAAAATTTTAAGATTTTTTTTTAATTGCTATATCTAAGATTTCCAATGAAGGCTTCTGTAAACTTTTCACTTTCTATTAAGAATCCAGCACTTCATTCATTATTATTATTGGTATTCAAAGTACTCGAATTGCACTACTTAATAAGTTTGGCAGCACGAGTTAGATACAATAACTTTTTAACACTCTTAGCACAACTAGTCTGGGCGCTTGGAAGTCAACCTTTTATTAGCAAGTAATTGCTTTTTAATTAATTATAGCTACTTTACTTACTATTTATCTCTTCAAATTCTTCTTTTTTGTTTTATACTAATTACATCATATCATGTCGCTTACACAAAAAAGAATATAAACAAACAGTATAAACAAATATGGTGATAATAGTGAGAACTCACAAAATACTTCCCAAAAAAAAAAAATCGTAAACTTGGAAATAAATGTTTATATAAATTTACAGTTAAAAAAAAAAATAAAGCTTAAAGCACTACACTAACTACAGCAACAATTCAATTTTTTCTNCGTAAACTTGGAAATAAATGTTTATATAAATTTACAGTTAAAAAAAAAAAAGCTTAAAGCACTACACTAACTACAGCAACAATTCAATTTTTTCCTGCATGGCTTGTAATGGATATCCCACATTTGCTGCAAGTGTCATAATCCAAAAAATAAAAAAAAAAACGAGAAAAACGCCTTTAAAGATTTGAGTTTATATATACTCCCATAATAAAAATTAATATATATTTTATTCTAGTGAGTTACTGGTAGTGGGTACATTATTATTATGACACTTTTGCAGCAAATGAGCGAATGCATGATTCAATAATTATAATTATTATTGAATCATGGTGCGAATGTAGGTACCCGGATTTAAAAGTATTTCTTAATATTTCTTTTTTTACTTTTATGTAAATATCTTATAGGCTATGTTTCTCCTTTTCATGGCGTATCAACTGTGAGTTGTACAATAATTGCGTTCGTCGCGCATTTCTTTCCTTTGCATTCGTTTCGATGTTTTGCTGCAGATTTTAAGTATCTCTATTCTCTCTCCGGTCTCCCACATTTCTCCCCACATTACATCAGCAGCCCCGTTGTGGATGAGTGTCATAAAGCACTAGTAGTGGTCGCATCTTTAGTTAAATGTGTCTCGATGTCCACACGACAGATGGGACAATGTTTATTGGTGACCAACCATTGATCGACGCAATCGGTGTGGAAGAGATGCATGCAAGGTAAGCGGCTATAAAGAGAAATTAACGAGTAAAAGAAACTTGAATGCTAAATTTTTCAATAAAATTTATATAAAAATACATATCGTTAGCTTAATTCACAAAGGCTCTAGCAGGAGAAGCAACAACATTTTAAAACGAGTGGTATGTAACTGCGTTATTTTTGGTAAGAGCACTTTAAAATTTTGATTGAAGGTGTACTTTAACACCTCCTACCAAAAGCTATATGCTCTTGTGTTTGAAAAAATTAAAGTATATTTTTTGCATTAAGGATATCGAACGTTCTTATCACTGATCAGCAAGGAAACTGCGTTTTATTTACTATTTCCATTTACTAATTCTAGATCAAATATTTATTAATGCGGGAGAAATTTTAGTATTGAGAATAGATCTCTGGATTTCACCGTGCCCTCGGATGTTAGATGATCCCAAGTGTGGTTTTCATTTATGCATCAATGCAAGGCACCGTAAAGAGTCCACGCGTTTCGGGACACTGTTGGCAGCTATAACTTTGAAGTAGTGAATGACTTTATCTACCTAGGATCCAGCATAACACCACCAACAACATCACCCTATCGAAATAAGATGAGAAGGCTTTGGACTCTCTCGATAAAACTATTTTACGCAAGATCTACGGCCCTGTACGCATGGACGACGGGTATAGATAAAGATGGAATGACGTGACGAACTGTATGAGCATTTTTAACGATATGGACATAGTTAAAAGTATAAAAATACAGCCATTAAGCTGGCTTGGACATGTTGTACGCATGTATGACGACGCACCGGTGAAAAGATCCTTCGACTCCGCCATACAATTTCACATCTTTTCTATTTTTAGAAGTTACTCGGACCAGGGATGGAACCTAGATCCTACCAAGAGGTAGTACGCAACTTTAACCATTCGTCAAGAGCGACCGCATTCGTTCCCACGACAGTCGGGTCTACGTAACCGGAACGACCCAGATTTATATTTGGCCAAGGACTGTCACTCCAGCAACACTCCCCAAAAACATTTTGGGGAACTTGTATGCTGCTACAACAACAACAACAGCGACCGCATATTAGTAGCAACAACTGGAAAAATAAACAACAATTTTATTTACTCACCGCACATCGTTTTCAATCTCGAATAACGACAAACATATGGCACACTTCTCAGCATCCTCATCTGACTCGCTGGGGCGACGTACTCGCTTATATTTATGCGGCAATGTGTTACGCTCAATAATTTCCTAATGTTGACAGAAAAAACAGAAAAAAATTAAAATGAAAATAAATAACCTTTTAAGCATTTGAATTACCAATGTGGCGCCACGATTTGGCCTTATTGCAGAGCCAATTAAAATGTGTGGCCCAATTGTTGATAGCGGCGTGGACAACCCAATTTCCAAATGTACCGGTGAGTAATGATGAAACATGTGGTGGTGCACAGCCGAACGGCGACGTTGTTGTGCCTCATATGGATAATAGGCCTGGAAAGCAAAGAGAGAAGACATTAAATGTATATATTCATCCCGCATTCTTAGTTTGCTACTCACTGGATCCAAACTGGATACCGGTCCATTGCTGGCATGCACGCACGAACAAGTATTCGGTAGCTGCGAGCGCCAACGGAAACTGTTTGTCAAATTGAGTGGATTGGAGGAGAGATCAATAGGTGTAGGCGTCATATGTCGGCGATGTATTTCCTGTATATGCTGTTGGCGATACCAAAGATTTTGGTGCACCGGATATGGTGGCGCTGCGCCGCCATGATGGGCACCACCGTGATGGCTGGAGGTGCTCGCACTAGCTGCACTACTATTGCCGCTGGGATGATGAAGACTTAGCGTAGGGAATGGCACACGCGAACGTGCATTTACGGCGAATGTTGGATAGGAAATCATGCTACCAACACGTTCGTCACCGCCAACGGCACCGCTGCTGCCCGCAACATTTAGGTGGCCAGCGGGAGCGAGCGAAGCAGCCTCTGGAATCGAATTTGATGGCGGCCCTGCAGCTGCCGCAGCGGCAGACACATAGCTTGTCGCTGTAGGCGAAACGCCGCGCATGTGCTCCGTGTTGACAGTGGCGGCTTGCGCAAATGCTTGAGCAGCGGCAGCGGCAGCTGCCGCACCAGCCAATGTTGAACGACTTCGGCTGAATGAACACGAAGGTATGAGCGGTGGCTCTTGTTGAGTGTGAAGCGTGCTACGTTGCAGCGGCGGCATTTCGTCGTCGGGGCGTCGGCAGTGTAGATAAAATGGCGCTATTTGCGGTATTGGTGGACTGCTGTTACTGTTGTTGCTGTTATCACCACTTGGCGCGCTTGGGTAGGTAGCACCGCTGCTGCTGGCTGTGCCACTTACGCTGTCGGCAGCCTCAACACCTTCGTTTATACCGCCAGCTGATATACCTCTAGCGTAGCGTGAAGCGCCATGACGCGTGGGAAAAAGAAAACTATTGCCCTCAGTGCGAGTCTGATGAATAGGCGCGTGAGCGGCGGGTACGCGACTACCAAATAAATCTTGCAAAGAGACCTCCTCAATGGTGGGTATTGAAATTATGGTGGTGTCTGTGCCTGGCGCTGTTGCTGTGGCACCAGAACGCAGCACAGGTATTGCGGATCGACCCATCGCCGCTGCAGCCGGCATATTCAACTGTGGTGAACGGCGCAGCCGTCGCATTTCCGGACATATGCCGTGCGTCGGCAACTCGTGCAGCATTGGGCGCTGATGTTGTGATTGGTGAGCCTGTTGTGGCTCGTAGAATGGATTCGGTGCCGGGCGCGGTATGTACTTGTAGTATCGACTGCGCAGTAGTGAAGAAAAGCGCTGGTGCTGGGGTTGGTGGGCCTGCTGTGGCTGATAAACAGCATGCCTCATACAATCATGATGATGCAGCGGCCGCTGGGCCATAGCTACTTCGGCTTCCATATTAGAAAGAGCCTGCTGCTGATTGCTAGGTCCAGCAGTCTCCCATTGTTGATAGCCTGGGGGAACAACCGCGTAGGGATGAATAAGTGGACCTGACGCTGTTTCATCTGCAACAGTCGCGGTACGTAAGTAACTCGGATGTGCCCCATCTATTGCTTCGATTGCAGATTCATTTGTTTCATTGGCAGATCCAACGTCGCCGCTTCCAAGCGGTGCTGGCGCAGGCGTATCTTCGTCGGTGGTTAAATCAATAGAGAGTATTGGCTCCCGAGTGGAATGCACAAAAACGACATCATCGTCGTCGCCTGTTGAGTCCGACAGCCAATCTAACTGCAAATCAGGCGCTGTTAAGACAGCTGTACTGCCGACGTCGCCACTTTCTTCGTCTATAGATGATTGATTATGGACTGCGCTGGCGGACGCATTGGTTGTGGTGATCTTACCGGCGGATTTAGAGGTATCAGCAGCAATCGATGCACTAGGCACAGCACCGGAATACGTAGGCTGCTCGTCATCCAAATAGTGTGGCATCACTGAAGGTGATGACACTGCAGCTTCGTCTGTGGGCACTGTAACTGTGGCACCTACTTCACCAGGATCAGCTGGAGCCGACATTCTATAGCCCGCGCTATATATATGTGGGTGTTCGTCCAAGTCACTATCTTCCAACAATACCACACTGTTTTCTGTCGCGTGGCCTTGACTGTGTCCGGCGTAGGTAATAACATACGGACCTGGCTCCATTGCCGCGCAAATCTCTGTCGGTGCTGAGTTACTGGGCGGCGTCAGAACCCTAGCGTGCTGTGGAGGCTGCTGCGGAGACATCGGCTGCGGTACTTCATCCACTTCACTGGACTCGTGCACATTAAGCATGCGCCAAATTTTGCGACGTGCGGTATGCATGTCGGCGGAGTCCCCGCTATTGCCGCCGCTGTACTCGTGTACTACATCAGACCCATCGCGAACACTCTGCCCTCTTAGGCCGCTACTGCTGATGCGTGGTATTTTTGCGGCACTCGATGTGCCGTCTGTTGCACGGCTGCTGGTGGGTTCCTCTTGTGAGTAGACTCCCTCCAGCCTATCTCTGCTGTCTGCGTCACACTCTCGCAGCCAGGCCAGCTCATTTGAAATTCCACCGCGCCTGAACTGCTGTTGTTCGCGCTCGAGTATGCGCCGGCGTTCACGCTCCCGCCAACGTAAAAACTCATGCGGATTGTGCCTCTCATGTTGAACACCGCCTGCAGCGCTGGTATTGCTATGAGCTCTCGGCTTATGCAAATTCCAGATGATCTCGTCATCATCATCGTCACCGCCATCGTCTTCAGTCCGATTTGGTGCTCGGCTATGGTCGCCGTTGAATAGGGAAAATGCTGAGCTACCAAGCGAGCGAAAACTTGTTGAAGAATGCGCTTCATCATTGCCCGGATTGGGGGTGGCACAATTGTTGTTTGATGCACCACTGAAACTGGGCAACGCATCCATGTCGGCCAAGTCTTCCATATTATCCACCGAGCCACGATTGCTGATCGAACCGCTAACGCTTCTTCTGCCTTCTCCAGCAGTACCAGCACTAACACTGACACTGCTTTCGTTGCCCCCACTTGAGCCCACCACATTCGAGGGCTTGCTTTGCTTTTTAATGGCATGCGTAGTTGTGGCTGTGTTTGTGGTGCATGTGTCCGCGAAATTGGCGTGCTCTGTATCGGATGCGGATGTCACTTCATCGCTAGTATTTAGCGATATTGGGGATGTGTTGCGTGCACCATCAGTATGCGCTAGCGCCTCGTTCGATTCAGAAATCGGATGTATGAATTCATCGTTGCTCATTCCTACTGCGGCGCTGCTCGCCACCAAAGCTTGTCGGCTAGTAGAGGCGCCATCCATTGCTAAAGAGGGGTCCTCACACTCCTCGGCTGTACCTGCGTTTGCTGCTGTTGTAGTTGATGCAACCATCATTTCATCATCCAAGGAATCAACAGAGGCGTTGCCATCTGCGACAGCGATGGCATCAGCTACAGATGCGCTGCTGGTTATAGTAGACACTGCGGCATAATGTGGGGTACGAGTTTGACTAGTGCGTGGCAATTGCCTTTGAGGCTCTGAGCTGTACACCATACTACCTACATTGGTTCCATTTGTTGTAACTGCATTGCACTTTTGAGTAGAATTGGCAAGCACTTTTTTACATTTAATTTCAGTCTTTTCAGTGACGGCATCAGTTGAGGCCGTTGCTGTTAATATAGCCCCAGCACTTGGTTGGGAATCAGTCACCCAATAATTCCCCATGGCATAATCGTGTTCATCGTTCACTGCAACGGCGGTAGCAGCCTCTGCAGAGTCTTGCAAGTGTAGCACCGAACTGGAACTTGTGGCGACATTTACAGATGCTCGTTCTGGCCCCACACCAATATCCATATGCTCAACGCGTTGCATTTCTTCTTCAATGCTACTAGCTGTCATAAGTGTTTGCTCGGCCTGTTGTTGCTCAAGAAGTGTGGTATGAACATGATCTGTGCCATGTGCTGCTTCATAAGGCGGTGGGTTTAGTCTGCAAATAAACGGAAATTATTTTGGGAATATTTTTATGTTAGAACTGTTATTTGTGGCATTAAAAAATCTCACCTTCCGGTGTTGCTATGCGAACAGCGGCATGTGTTCGACAAACATTTATTGCACAACAAATAAGGATCACGTCGTATATGGCATGCATCGTAGGCACAACGTTGGGGGGAGTGACCGCCGTCCATTTGCATAAGAGACGCCGATGTTGAATGTGCATGCTGGTGTTGATTCTGATGGTGATGATGGTGTTGATGCTGATGCTGGGTTTGCTGCAAGTGTGGAAGCATATGTGCATGTGGATGATGATGTGGCCGATGCGCCAAAGAATGACGATGCGAATGCACATGATTGTAATGATGCACATGATGACGCACTGGTGCATACATTTGTACACCAATAGCACTAACCAATGGCTGAGCTGGTGCTGATTGCGGTAAGATATTTGCGGTTGCATCATAGGACAACGGTGTGGCAGTAGCTTCATAGTGTGATGTTACATTAGGTGGCGTATGTGGACTGAGCACAGAAGGCGGATAGTTGTGCATGTTGTGATAGTTAGCCACTGCAGCAGTGGCAGCAGCAGATTCAGCTGGTGTGCTCATGTAAAAAGATAAGGGGTTTTGCTAAAATAAGGGAGAAGATAAAATTTTACTAATAATTAACTTTATACGTGTGGATGGTAAGCGTGAGTGACTAACTGTCTACATATTGTAATGCCTAGCTCACTACTGCCAAACCACAAGCGAACTGGTATATTATTTACTTCGATTGACAGGCCCAACGTAGATGTTCGCTCGCCGCGATCGTAGACTATACCAAACGTACCGGCTGAAAAAAAGAGGTGGATTAAAAAATATACTAACGAGGTAAATAATCAGAAGTACATATGTATATACATCTACACTACATACATAAGGAAAACCATTCGAAGAGAAAATATTTGCCTATTTTACTTACGCCCTGCACTGTTGATTTCCATTTCATGATGATAGGTTGGAACTTCAATTTCGTGACGCAGATGTCGCCGGATTTCTTCTTCATTGTTCTCCATTTTATGGTATTTTCTCTGGTGCTCTTACGAATTTGTAGGTAATGCGCTTTATTGCACTTTGCTGCCGCAAAATTCCAATCTTAATAATTGCATTGATTGCACTTTAGTCAAAAGTTGCTATTCGCGTCAGCAGTAGAACTAATTTTCAAAAGAGAATGCCAGAAATTTAGGGCAATGTAATTGACTTTTATACAAAAGAGGTACAAACGTATGTATGTTAAATTTATTAAATAGTTTACTAAAATATTACATTTAATTACTACTAATTACTTACTATGTAAATAGTTTTCCTCTTAAGATAAATATTAACCTTTAACTGGTATCGTGGGGTCCATTCGGGCCTGTGAGTATATCGCAAGGTTAATAATATAGAGTGAGTGTATCGCAAGGTTAATAATATAGAGATGAAATTAAAATTTTACGTTGATTTCATCATACGAGGATAAGGAGAATATCGCAAAGAAAAATTTAAATTGTATCTAAAAAAAAATGTAATTTTAAAATAATATCAACTGTTACTACAATTTGTGTATTAAAAACTGTTTATTTGCTCTTTTCAATTGCAATAATTTTGGACCTTCGATACCAAAAATGTGGAAAAAATATCGTCACCAGCTAAGGGTTAAACCAAATTGACTGCAATAACAATTCTAACCTCACTTTATCAAAAGCTAGTTTCAAAACAAAACAAGGAACAAGGAAGAAAAATGTAAAAACTAAACTAAAAAAAAATCGAATTTTTAAACCCTTCTCATACCTGATTTACAAAAATATATAGGTATGTAGGAACATCTGGTATCCTTGACAATAATCGCCCAAATCTGAAAGATGGTTTTATTATAATGACATTTTATTTAAAATGCAAGGAACTTTTTAGTGGGTTTAATCACCGTAAACATCACCTAAACTGAAATTTCCGGAGTGTTGGCTACCCTGCTAAATACATAAACGAAGCAAAAAAAACGTGTAATAGGGATGTGAGATACCGACACGCTATTTAATATACCAATATCGTTGGTCAGTATATCGGTAAATCTATATCGATAACAGAGAATACGATATTTTGTTTCGATGTCTGAAATACTGGAAACTTTTCTTGGGTTGAAAATAAAAATTAGTTGTAAAAAATTCGTTTCAGCAAAACAGCCTTTGTTCGAATTAATATACTTTTTTTTATCAAATTTATGTTTGATTTTTATTAGATTTTATTTATAAATAGTTTAAGGCAAATATAAAATTTCGTTTATGTTTTGTTAAATGTAATAAAATAATTTCATTTATGTATTTTTAAAGGTACTGTACTCTTTTGTGAGTAGATGTGAATCGAAATTCTGGAACTCTCGTCTTTTTTTGCGCCTCACGCCAAGTTGTTTCTTTTAATTTAAAATCTAATACCTCTGGAGATTCTTTAGATAGTACTAGAACCCTTATCAAGTCATTTAATACTTCTTGGGTTGTTGTTGTTGTTGTAGCGGCTACTTCTTTGGTGAAAGGTTTTGGCTTTGTTGACGTTATTCGTTCGAAATAACTGTTACCGCTTACTTCCTTCAAGATTTCTTCTAATGATGGGTAACGTATTCAAAAAGATGTTGGAATACGTACTTCCTCCGAATGCGTTTAAGGTCTCCCTCCGATTCTTAGTCTCTCTAAAGTGTTTACAGCGCAGTTTATAAAAAGTTTGGGGTATCCGGAATTTGGAGGAAATTTGTTTTACAAAATCTTTAAGAGACTTTCGGAATCGTTTAAGTGTGTATTCGCCAAAAATTTAACAAAATACATTAGGCTCAGTGAGAAATCTTCTACGCGTGGAATGCATGATGATGAGACTTCAAAAAGTGTCCTTGATTATAACCAAAATACAAAACTACTATTAAATTAAAACCCTGCATACCAAAGTTCCCGAAATCTTAACGAAATCTTTAGGAGTATCTCATTTCTGTAACGTTTTTTTTTTAAGAATCTTCAAAGAAAATTATATGAAGTGGTTGACACGAACTAGTCAAGAAATTTCTGTACGAAAAATAAAGTAAATTTTGAAAAAATGCATTGCTTTACTGCTTTATTTTAGAAAATATGGCGAAAAATCGGATAAGATTCTTACAAATTCTTTAAAATTTCTCTACAGTTCAGAATACTCTGAAAAAGTGTTTTGCAGGGAAACTTCATCTAGAAACAAAAGTAAAAAGAAATATTTTAAGTATTGTCAATTCACACCTAATAACAAACCACTAAAGTTATCTCAAATTGTTGACCTCTGTATTTTTATTGACTATTTCATCTTCGTTGTTGCCGATATTCAATATATCGATGTTATTGTAGTAGATATATCGGTATCGGATATAGTGAATTTAGAATATCGCGATACCGATATATCGAGTTTTAATTGCCGATATGCATCCCTACCGTGTAACCTCCGACAGGGCTGCCACAGACAAATTAATCCAATTTTGTAGCGACATTTCTATTTTAGGGATTTTTAACTTTTAGCGCGCACAAAAAAAAGTAGTTACATATAAGTCTATCAATAAAAAAAACCTATTAAAGCCCTTACAACATACTATACGTACTCAATTTTTCTCTTAATCAGCTCTGACTCGAGATTAGACGTTTTTTGCCTACATATTATATGTAAATATGTTTATTTTAGATACATATGTATGTATGTATGTACATATGCACACATGCAAATGCATTTCGCAGGCCGGATATCTTTGGATGAATAATGGGGTATTGTTAGTACATAATAGAAGAATAAGCAAGAGTAGGCAAGTAGGCTACCGGTAGCTGATATCATGAAACAGCAGCTCACCAAAAGAAATGCATACGTATGTAGATAGTGTTCAATACACACACGAATTTAGTATATAATTCTTATTTACCCTGGCTAGGCGCATCATCTAGTCTGCAGTTTAGTAAATATATACATATGTAACCCCACCGACCCCTTCTTCAATGCTTTATATGTATGCATACATAACAACCGTCTGTCGGCAAACTCGTATGACGGCAACAAAAACAGCTGCGTTCTCAGTAGGGTTACCAACCGTACTATAAAATATAATATTGTACTATTTCAGTCTGTGTACAATATATCTACTGTTTGAAAAAATATAGTATGAAAAAGTACAATATTTTTGTCAATTATAAATGAATACAAATATTTATTTATTTATTTGTTTAACTAAATTTGTAATAAATTATGAATTTAAATAGATTAATTTCAGCGCTATTTGGTCGGGCTTGGCTGACATATAAATATATTTCAGTAATTTGCAAGAAAGGTTTTTTAATAAACCTTATTTTTATTAAAGGGAAATTTGTCATTTTAAATTTTAATGGTTTGATAAGTTTTAAAAATGGTTGGTGAAGCTGGGCATGAGAATGAATTACCTAATTTTTTTAATTTATGATTATTGATGTGTGTAATTTTTTGTTAAATAGAATTGCAATCAACGATTATATTAAAATATTAATTTCACTTCAATTAGTAATATTTTATTCCGCATAAATCTGCCGTTATCAAAAATTTACTGCTGTCAAAAAATATTTCATTTCGCACAGCAGATTGGCAAAACTGTCTCACCATATTAAAATAATTATTCAACAGATTTCCCCAGTCACATTTAATCATTTAAATTTTTATTGCGATAAAGCATACGACACTTTCATATTATGCGCGTTCCTTATCTCCCAGAAATAGAAAAAGTCCGAAGTAGTCAGATTTAGTCCAAAAAGCGTTCCTTAAAGCTCGGAACACTTTGACGACTGCAACTTCACGACGTAACGACAGCGACATCATTTTGTCGACAAATGTCGCCTTGAAGCCAGCTTCTTAAACATTTTGAAGACCTCAGCGACATAGCAAACAGCTGATTTTAAAGTTTGACATTTTGGTATATTTATTTCACAAATTGTGTATTTTTATTTAAGTAAATAAGAAAAACATGAACAATCAAGAATATGTGATTAATTTTGCGACAATTTAATTTTGTAGCACTACATCTACTCATTGTCGCCGGCAAAATTAGAAATAGATTTAATTTGGCGACGTCGACAATTGCAGTCCTGCAGCCAAGATGTCGTGCTGTCGTCAAAATAATTGTGTCCGTAAGAACGTGTATATTTAAAATTTGACAGATGCTGCTTGTCGCTTGCTGTCGTCAAAGTGTTCCGAGCTTTACTCGGATATGACAGCAAAAATGAGAGAGCAACAGTCAGTGAGAGCGACTCTCATCAGTCCGAAGTAGTCAGAAGAATTTTTTCTGGCAAAATCCTGAAAAGTGTCAAACTCAACTGAATTTAAATTAACGGAAATTAAAGANTTTATTGTGCTTGTGCTTGTGTGAATGTGTTTTGTACATACATTTCTGTTCTTATTTGACGTTAGTTTTGTTGTTGCCATTCTTTGGACTAAAAATTTGGTTTTTTGCGTTCCTTTACTTTTCCTGTTACTCTCTTTTAGTGAGCGCATTTTGCTTACGCTCTGGCATTTTGACACTTTTCAGATTTTAGTCCAAAAAGATAAGGAATGAACCTATTAAGAAATGCTTAAAAACTGCCAAGAGTGCAGAGAAATATATTTTTCTTAAGAAATGCATAAGAGAGAAAAAGATGTATACGTAAAGGCGTTTTACTTTTTCTTTTAAATAAAATACTATATACATTTTAATAACAGTATATTTTTGAAATTTTGTTTAGTTACTATAATGTCTTAGAAAATGCTGGCAGCCCTGGTTCTCAGCTGTAGTTTTGTCTTTTATGTATTTGCATTTCCTTTTAACGTTTTATTGCTTCTTTTATTTCTGCCACTTGCACGCATTTATATGTGTATATATATAAATACATACACACATACACACGTCCATCCATACATATCTTATATATCTTTTTCCGTTTTTTACCATTTCTTGCGCTTTAAAACACGGAAATCACCACCCTTCCTACTTACACATGTATATATATACTTACATTTTCTGATTTGACTGCTTGCCCAAGGAGCCTATTTACCAGCAATCCACACTGCACCTATATTTGCTCAGGCTTATGTACACGATGCAAAAACAAAATTCAAATGAAGCTGGAACTCGTATTTAACACACCGTAGACACTTCCGTTGTTTTTAGCACTACACTTTGGCCGAAATTGAGCTCCTACCGCCTCCTACACCGCAACGCTTATTGTTTTTCTTGTTCCTTATATACTTCACTCCGTTCTTTTATTTATTCTTTATCTGTCATTCCACCCCAACAAAAAACTGCACAATTTTCTTTCATTTGCAGCCCACAACTTATTTTTACGCCTTAAAGGCTTTTCATGGTAATTTTATAGTAAATTCATTTTTATATTTGATATTTTCACCTTTGTATTCATTTCTGCAATATTTTCTTCCATAAATTCACATTAATAATCACAAAATAAAATTGTTAAATTTGCACGAAGCCCAGACAAGTTATGAAAATTGAAGGAGACTAGCGCATTGCAGTGTTGCCAGAGGAAGAAAAAGGTATGGTGCAATCAAAAACCTGCACAAAACCGGTTACTTACCGTCAAGAAAAACTGCATGACATCAATTGAAAGTATGATGTCGCTTTAAAATGTTAAATTTGCAAAAAAATAAAATATTTTTCATTGTTTTTAAATTGCGTCGTTTTTAAATTTAAGCAGGAGCACAAAAAAAATTCGCCGAGCAAATATTTTTATGACCCGTGCTTCACTTGCCATAAATGTCGAAAAAAGTTATCGATAACATTTGATGTTCTTTGTTATTCCCGAAGTGCAGGCTTGCTATAAAATCGCACTTGTTTAAAAANCATACACACATACACACGTCCATCCATACATATCTTATATATCTTTTTCCGTTTTTTACCATTTCTTGCGCTTTAAAACACGGAAATCACCACCCTTCCTACTTACACATGTATATATATACTTACATTTTCTGATTTGACTGCTTGCCCAAGGAGCCTATTTACCAGCAATCCACACTGCACCTATATTTGCTCAGGCTTATGTACACGATGCAAAAACAAAATTCAAATGAAGCTGGAACTCGTATTTAACACACCGTAGACACTTCCGTTGTTTTTAGCACTACACTTTGGCCGAAATTGAGCTCCTACCGCCTCCTACACCGCAACGCTTATTGTTTTTCTTGTTCCTTATATACTTCACTCCGTTCTTTTATTTATTCTTTATCTGTCATTCCACCCCAACAAAAAACTGCACAATTTTCTTTCATTTGCAGCCCACAACTTATTTTTACGCCTTAAAGGCTTTTCATGGTAATTTTATAGTAAATTCATTTTTATATTTGATATTTTCACCTTTGTATTCATTTCTGCAATATTTTCTTCCATAAATTCACATTAATAATCACAAAATAAAATTGTTAAATTTGCACGAAGCCCAGACAAGTTATGAAAATTGAAGGAGACTAGCGCATTGCAGTGTTGCCAGAGGAAGAAAAAGGTATGGTGCAATCAAAAACCTGCACAAAACCGGTTACTTACCGTCAAGAAAAACTGCATGACATCAATTGAAAGTATGATGTCGCTTTAAAATGTTAAATTTGCAAAAAAATAAAATATTTTTCATTGTTTTTAAAGTGCGTCGTTTTTAATTTTAAGCAGGAGCACAAAGAATTTCGCCGAGCAAATTTTTATTTATGACCCGAGCTTCACGTTATCGATAACATTTGATGTTCTTTGTTATTCCCGAAGTGCAGGCTTGCTATAAAATCGCACTTGTTTAAAAATATTTTAACTTTTTAAATTGAGTGAATATTGTAAAGAAAATTTAGATTTGTGCTTTGAAATGACAATCAGGTCTATATAATACCATTTATTATTATTATGTATATGTATTCCTTGTTACATGCATATATTTTCTGTGTTGTGTTGCGTTGCAAATTCGTGNAAACCGGTTACTTACCGTCAAGAAAAACTGCATGACATCAATTGAAAGTATGATGTCGCTTTAAAATGTTAAATTTGCAAAAAAATAAAATATTTTTCATTGTTTTTAAATTGCGTCGTTTTTAAATTTAAGCAGGAGCACAAAAAAAATTCGCCGAGCAAATATTTTTATGACCCGTGCTTCACTTGCCATAAATGTCGAAAAAAGTTATCGATAACATTTGATGTTCTTTGTTATTCCCGAAGTGCAGGCTTGCTATAAAATCGCACTTGTTTAAAAATATTTTAACTTTTTAAATTGAGTGAATATTGTAAAGAAAATTTAGATTTATGCTTTGAAATGACAATCAGGTCTATATAATACCATTTATTATTATTATGTATATGTATTCCTTGTTACATGGATATATTTTCTGTGTTGTGTTGCGTTGCAAATTCGTTTAGTACCAAAAAACCGTCTATCTTACAACCCCGACATGTGCCGAAATTCACGTACATGAAATTCGTACATTCCTTTGTTGTATTTTATTGTTAACGGAAATCGACTCGCGAAAGCATCTTTTTGTCTGGGATATATTTGTGTACTAGGTGTGGTTAAATAAAGTAAATAAAAAGGAAGCATACGTTTATGTGAATAAAAAGGTAAATCCATGACATAAAAATGTAAGCACAGTGAATTAAATTATGTTTGTATAATACTTAGCGCAGGTCCGATTGAAAGTGCATTTTTTTGTAATCTGCATTGTTTGCGAAAAATCGATTGTCCCGAAATTGGCGGAGAAAGTTTGCATTGCATACCAGCTCAACTTGTGGTTTGGTCTATTATCTACCAAATGGGTCAGGGAATATTGGGAGCTTGCTGTGCTGAAATTGCATTCATTGCGGCTCCCGTTGAGCTATGCACTTTGTGTAGCATTCCCAAAGTGGGAATTAAAAATAGCCTCGAGCTAATGAATGTGTAGTAAGCAAGCGAACGGGACATTCAGATACTCCACCAACTTTGAGGGGTCTGTCGCCAAAAATACCAGTGGAATTCTTTTTTGTTTCTATGCACTTGTGCGTGTGCGTGCGTAAAGCATATGTGTGTACATATATATATATTCATCGGCTATGCCGTTTTTGGTGCACTTCCATTTTTGTCGGACTGCTTGGCTGCCATTCTAACTTGCCTTTTTTATGATGTTCTCCAGCTGTCGCATACGATAGCAGCTGTCAAACCTATGTGGGGATAAGCATTTTGTGTGGTTTGGCTTGGTCAGACAGTCAGTCAGTTAGTCAATCAGTTGTTGTCGGAGTGCGCTCATGACTTGTTTTTGGATTGGTTAGCTTAAAACCAGATCAAGTCGGTTTAGGCAAGTTTCGCAGCGTGCGCTTTGGGGAAGCTCCATTCAGTTGTATTCGAATTACTCCACACAACAATAAGTTATCAAGCGCAAAACTACGCTGTTAGCTAGTGGCGTTGGTATAAGGGTAAGCTACAATATAACTTAATGCCAACAGTAGAGCGTCTGCATTGAGGGTAATGCTTTTCAATGCTTTTTTTTTATGTGTTAGACAGCTTTGTGCGCAGGTACGTCATTTTGGGCTGACTCACAGCTTTGTGGGAATGAATATGTGCGTTTGTGCATATTTTGGTAAATTAATAAGGTAAAATGGTATTCCAATTAAGACCGGTCATCCTATAATAAACTGGCAATTGCCGAAAATTTATAATGAATAACAACTTGATGGAGATAATGAAAGAAGATAATGTATATGTTTAGGCACAATTATTCATTTACAGGCCCGCTCTGCACGGAATTATCTAGAAATCAACACCCAAAGTTTCTGTCACTAAAATCTACAAATGAATAAAAGGGTGTGCCTAACAATATGTAACATCATACCCCAAGGAAGGCAATAAATTTGTCGTAAGCTGACATGCAGGTACAATTTCCTTGTAGGCATTGTATATTTTTAGGCATACCATTTATTAATTTAAAGATTTTTAGTGACAGAAATTTGTGTGGCGATTTATAGATTTCTATTGCTGCAGTAGAATACTGTAAGTGTCAATTCTTTTACGCCCATAATCGTGTAAAAAATACATTTCAAACGCAAAAAAGCCCAGATGTATCCTATATAAATTATAATTTAAAAATGTCTATGGATATACATTCATATATATTTCGTAACACATACGATATATTTTTTTGTGGCATATGTACTTGAAGGCGAAGTAATAAAGACTGTGTTCATCTAGTGGGAATAGGGCTGTGAATTTCGATCGCCAAAGTTTCTGTATGAATTAGAAGGCGCCCTAATATCGAGTGTCTGGTAAACTCTGTTCATATTACGGTTTGTTTCGATTAAATTGCCTCACATAAATCAAGTGTTTTTTTATTATTTATTTATTTAGTTATTTATTTATTAGCATCTGTACGTACGAGTGTGTGGTGCGTACTTGATTTAAAAAAAATGGTTGCATACCTTTAGGCTTTTTTTTTTGTGTGTGTTAATTTCCTCGACAGTGTTAGCTTATTATCTGATTTCTACTTAACTTTTTGGCAGATTTTACAAGGCGAAATTACTTGATTTCAGCATGATTTGCCTGTAAATTATGAGTGAGCCGTAAATTACGATAAACAAAACTTGAACCACTCACTTAACCGAAAAGGTTTAATTTTGAATTCGTCCGAAGAGAGGGATTTTCTTCATACCTCTTCGGTCAACGTTTTGCACAGTTGAGGCGTTTTTGCTACATTTTAATTTTGAAGACTGGCTTTTGGTGGGAAGATGAACAATTATTCCACCTTCTAGGAAGAAATCAGTTGGCGTACAGGTTTAAATTCTACTTAATTGTTAAGTTCTCTGCTGACACCTTAAGCTGAACACACGTTTACCCAACGACTGTTTCGGGACTTTTATGTTCTTACAACAAGTTATCCGTTAAAATGCGATGGTCAATAAAGTGGTATTCGGTAGCCCTTACCAGTTTTGCGTTTCATGTACAGATCCCTTTTCGCATATTCTTAAAGGAAATTCGCGATAGTTGTTTTGGCGAATCTAATTTTTTCACTAATTTGGGTATACTCAATTTTAAAGACGGCAAAATTTTGTATTTATGCAGCCTGACGTAAACTCAATAATTAGGCTGCGGATGTTTATGCATAAAACGAAGCCTAAAAATATGTAGCACTTAACTATGAGCAAAATAATTACATTTGTATACATTTTGTTTAGTTATGGGGTACATATTTTTAGGTTTCGTTTTTTTTTATAGACATCCGCAGTACATTAATAACGTACTTAATAAAATGCTTTCATCTATAAAACTTAACTGATTTATCAATTCTGCAGTAAGTGTACAACTAAGAGTTTTTTGCCCGCTACCAATGCTAAATAAATTAGCGGTATTCTCGAAGGGGTATTCTCGTGCACGGATTGCACGGTTTGCAAAGCTGGCCCATAGGAAAACCAGTTTTACGATGCAATCCATGTACTGTGCAAGGGCTTTGCAAGACTTCGAGAATACCGCCATTTTATCTATAAACCTACTCTTCAACGGGTTTTGCTTTTTGAACACAGTAACTATGGCATTTGCATTTTTTAGCACAACTTTATGCAATATCTATGTAGATATTAGCATAAATATTATTCATAATTTGGTGTTGAATAAATTTTCACATTCCATATTTGCCTGCGGAAAGATTTGAAGAAAACATGTTTGTTTTCGGAACTATAGTTCTGTTCGCTGTGCAAAAAACTTGTACAATTCGAGTTGGGAAAATTTTTGCCAGCAAGAATTGCAAGCAGGATTGTGGCGCACGGTTGCATTTTTGTCAATAATTTGAATCAACAGGTTCGTTAAGTTTAAAAATGTACAATCTTGCTGCGATTTTAATGCAAGAAGTATGAAAATATTTGTTTATTCAATTAATTTAATTAATTTCATTGATTTGAAAGGTACGCTGATAAAAAAATCTGTATTCGTAATCGGAACTTGTCGACTGCGTTCCGATGTTCCGATATAGGAAATCCGACAGTGACTTCTTCTTCTTCTTTTTTGGCGCTGTAACCGCCTAAGCGATTTTGGCCGAGTCGTTTCAGCTCTGTGCCAACTGACGCCAATTGGAAACGCCAAGTGAAGCCAAGTCCTTCTCCACCTGATATTTCCATCGCAGTGGGGGCCTCCCTCCCTCTTCCTCTGCTACCACTAGCGGATTCCGATTTGAATACTTTCAGAGCTGGAGCTTCGGTGTCCATTCCAACGACATGGCCAAGCTGATGCCGCTGTATTGCAGCGTGACTACCACAAAGAAATTCAAGCATATCTTGAAGAAAGTCAAAATAAGAGGAAATATACATACATATATGTCCTGTTTTGTTTTCAACTTGAAATAATAAAAAAAAAATTATTCTGCCTTATCCTGATTTTCGCCTGAAAAAATTCATCCGAAAATTTGTCATCCGCCCATAGCAAAACCATGGAAACCAAAAGTGAACCGGTTCGGGGAAAATGAAACTTATGATAAGGCTGATTATGTT